GTGTGTGTGCGTGTGTGTGTCTGTCTGTGTATATGTGTCTTTATTTTGCCCAAGAATGTGCCTGTGCCAAAAATGAATGAGACTGGACCTGCAACCCAGTGGCTGGTGCTTCCCAAAGCCCAGGATATAGTTACTAGGACCAAACAAAACCCATAAAGGCAGCCCAGGGATGTCACCAAATTCACAGAAAAAAGAACTAGAAGTGGGATGTTAAGTAATTGTCCTGTCTCCCACTTACAGATATGGAAGTAAAATATGCCAGTTTTTAACCTGCATATTTAAAAGTTCACATGACTTAAAAGTTTAGAAATTTAATATCTGAGTGGTTTTTGCTTTTTTGTTTAATGAGAAAAGCAATGTAAAACTGGCACTTTTGGGGGGTGAATTTTAGGGTTAACTTGTTACCTCAGAATTCGACTTCTGAGGGGCCAGCTAGATAGCTCAGCAGACTAAATTACCCACTTAGGAAAACACTAGGGGACCAAAGTTCGATCTCCATACCATGCCAGCCCTGCGCCTGGGGTGCTCTGAGACGGTGAGCATGTGCCTGTGATCCCAGCACTTGGGAAGCTGAAAACAGGAGGATCACTACGAGTCTGATCTCTGCAGTGAGACCCTGTAGACTCTGTACTAAGTACATAAAAAAATAATAATAATAATAATTCCACTTCTGGGCCTTTTTCTGGAAAAAGGGTAAGTATTCCAAGATGTTTTGAGGATCCACTGTTTAAAGCAGCCTAGCCGGGGAGATAACTCAGTGGTATAAGCACAAGGTCCTGAGTCCAAACTCGGGTTTAAAAAACAAAAAAACAGCAACCTTTACTTTCACAAAAATCTTTGTAGAATAAATTGTAGTCAGCCTGAGCTTGTTGCACATGCAGAAGCTGAGGCAGGAAGGCCCCAGGCCCATAGTGAGACACCATGGAAGGTAAGGAGTCATTTCTGATGTGCAGCCATTAAAGGGGTGGCTGGAGCTGTGTCAGTATGTGTGGAAATTTTTTCTCAAGAAAAGCAAATCTGACATCAGTGATGCAGGGTCCATTTAAGTAAGAACAAAATACACGTAGAAGCACCTTTAGGAATTTAAGAGGAGAATAAAAGTTTATGTGACCTGCTAAGTACTCATTCTGAAATTTTCTTTCTTTCTTTAGGAAGATGTCTGATGAGTTTTCGGTAAGTTAATATTTTTGTCCTTGATAAAGGTTTTCAGAACTTAAGAAAAGGACCTGGGAGATGGCTCAGTAGAATAAGCGCTTCCCTGGCAAGCTCAAGGGCCTGAATCCCCAGTTCCACCAAAAAAAAAAGAAATTAAGAAAAAACACAGCCCTAACCATAGACCCCTCGTGTCTTGTGGTGCTGGGAATGGAGCCAGGGCCTCGTGCATGGAAAGCACACTGCCATTGGGCTACCTCCCAGCTCCTTGCAAGACTCAGTTAATTTATTTTTCCAAGTCTTAATTTAAAAACATGTTTTTGTGATGCTTGGCAGGTTATTTGCGTGTGATTTTCATAGGTGATTTTCCTTTACATAGATTATTTAGAAAATGTCCATCTTGAAGTTTGTGTGACTCCTGTTTTCTTTTACCATAATAGTAGTAACAATCCCAGTTTGTTGATAATCGCCTCATACTGTGATAAGTGTGGTAGTGTGAGGTTCTCCTAGAAGTCTCAGGTTGACCCTGAGACTGGAAATGCCGGGGTTCCAGAGCCCCGCTGTAAACCTGCCCCAACTGCTGTCCTGACTCCTTGGTACCGTGCAGAGGCCAAGTGGGGATGGTTATTTGTTTCTAAATGATTTGGGCTTTTGCTGAAAGGCCTCCATTATGAAATTGCCGATCTGGCCAGTGCCACAGGTCTGGTGTTGAGGGCTTAGCCTGTGAAGAGACCTGAAAATTTTTTATCTGAGAGGAGGGCAATGGACACATGTGGCTTGGACCCCACAATTGGACAGGAAACCGCTCTTGTTTTGCAGTTGGCAGATGCGCTCCCCGAACACTCCCCTGCCAAAACCTCCGCTGTGAGCAGCTCCAAGTCCAGCCAGGCACCCCAGGGCTGGCCCGGCTCCAGCCCGTGGAACACCCCGAGTGCCCCGCCTTCGCTGCCTGCTGGACCCCCGCCAAGCGCAACACCTTCCACTGCGCCTTTCGGAGCAGTGCCCCCAGGAATGTACCCAGCTGGGCCACCACCAGGACCCCCGGCGCCATTCCCACCCTCCGGACCCTCGTGTCCGCCACCAGCAGGGCCTTACTCGGCTGCAGCAGTGCCGGGCCCTGGCCCCACAGGGCCATATTCCACACCAAACATGCCCTTTCCAGAGCTGCCCCGGCCCTATGGTGCCCCCGCCGACCCAGCCACCGCGGGGCACCTAGGTCCATGGGGCTCTGTGTCTTCAGGATCATGGGCTCCAGGCATGGGAGCACAGTACCCAACCCCTGGTATGCCGTACCCTCCGGGGCCATATCCCGCTCCTCCTCCTCAGGCACCGGGCACCGCTCCACCCGTCCCCTGGGGCACTGTGCCACCTGGGGCCTGGGGACCACCAGCACCATACCCTGGGCCTGCAGGCTCATACCCCACACCAGGACTCTACCCAACACCCAGTAACCCTTACCAAGTGCCTTCAGGACCTGCGGGTGCTCCACAGCTGCCTGGCGGACCCCACGTGAGTGTCACTGTGTCATTTCTCATACACAGCTCAGTGTGTCTCCCCCAGTCTGGATGGAAGGTTGGGAAGCTTCTAGAAGTGTGTGTATGTAAATTTGTAAACCTGAGGTACAACATTTAAAAGAATGAGAGCCAAAGTTCCCAGTACTGAGTACAGAGGAGAAATTTCCCACAATCCCAAGGCCATAGTAGTGGAGCTCTGCCCTGGGCAGCATCCTGAGGCCAGCTTGGCACATCACTGGCTGTTTAAAACAGTATCACACCAAAGCAAAGGTCAGGCAGATGCAATCTCTTGCCTGTCTGGCATGATACAGAGAGATTTCTAGGCAGTGTGTGCCTAACAGACATTGCCACCATCGGGGTGCTCTCCCAGCTGTTGCTGAGCTGCAGTTTTATTACATTCTTGGCAACCTTGAACTGGATTAACTACTATTCTTGGTGGCCCGTTTCGGAGCCATATGTTCTGTCCACCAAGCTGGGGTCGGATCGACAGTTGAATTCAGGAGCCTATCTTCGGGGCTGATGAATGAAGCACCCTACTTCTTGGTAAGGAAAGCCAGGTAGATGTGTAAACAGAGTCAGCATGTTGCTTCAGAACAGAGGTCTTCTCTCTAAGAGAATCCACCTCAGCTTTCTTTTCTTTTCTTTTTTTTTTTTTTTTTTGCGGAACCAGGGATTGAACTCAGATCCTTGCGTTTGCCAGTCAAGCATTTATCCTACTGAGCCATCTCCCCGGCCCCATCCCACCTCAGCTTTAAAGGAAAAAAATCTGAAAGGGTCCCTGGAACCTCAGTAGTATAAATTCTTGGTATATCTATTTTCTAAACAAAATTTTTTTTTGGCCGGGTGTGGTAGTATATGCCTGTCATCCCAGCATGCAGGAAGCTGGGAATGTGACAGTCCAAAGCCAGCTGGGCTACAAAATGAGCTTCAGGCCAGCCTGCACCACATAGACCCTGTCTCAAGAACTTTTTTTTTTTTTTTTTTCAGTGTACATACTAAAATAAATGAGATGATTTGCTGTTTGGAGTTATTAAGCAGTACATTTATTTTAAGCCATAGCAAGGAGTTAAACTCCATTTACAGAGTCTTGCAGTTGACTTTTTCTTTTTTCTGTTGCAGTCTTACCATTAAGTTAACAGTGGATGAAGAGATGACGCTTTGCTTTTTGAAGTACATACATGTGCACACAGATACATATATAAAAACTGCCAGTCTCGCTATTCTTAGAGGGCATTCCTGAAAGAACCACTTGCCCTCCGAAGATGTCTGCCTGTTGTATTGGGATATGTAGTGCATCGGATGGGTGCAGTCAGCTGGCAACACAGAAGGAAGTCAAGCCGATGGAATCATTTGGCTTTTGTGGAAAGTTAAGATGATTATATTGAATAGCTCTTTGCTAAAATTTGTTTAAATTATGAAACTATACACTTAAAATTGTAAAATAGGGATTATTGTTGAATTTGCCAGTGAAATTGTAGATTCTAGGTATTTTTCTATAACCTCTTTCCCTCCCATAAATAACTATAAAAAATCACATTTTATTCTAAACAAATGCTTCTTCTCAGCATTTTGTGCTGCTCTGTCTATAAGGTAAATCTAGTCTTCTTAGGGTTATTTTGGATATACATTTTAAAACTATGATGGTCATATGTCCGGTTCATTGGCCAACAACTGTTCGTTTTTATCCTTGAGCTATTTATAAGAGCCTGTCTTTTGTTGATGCCATATGGGTCTCTAAAATGTGCCACTTACTAAAACTTCTTTGCTCGGCTCTGTAAGTAAATCCAGGGCCTCGCCTGTGCTGCAGCTAGCGCCCTGCCACAGAGCTCTACCTCCAGTCCTGATTTCTTTCCTTTTAATGCACCCCAATATGTGTGCAAGTTCTGTTCTTAGCTGTGCTGTGCTTGACAGCGGATTGTGAGGTGTGTGTATTACTTGGAGAAGAGCTCAAGAAAAGAATCCAGCCTTCGTTGTAAACCTTTAAGCTGGCCCTAGGAATTGCTTTGCGCTGGGTGCTTTTCTGCAGCCCCCATCCACGAATTCGTAGGAGCAGCACGGCAGTTGCTCCCTGGCACAGAAGGTGGCACACACCGACTCTGTTAGGACGTAGCAGTTATGCCCAGAGAACCTCCAGTCAGACGGGCACGTCACTCTGTTTTTACACATGCAGTCAGGTGTCTAGGAATCAGAGCCTAGTTGAGTGACATCCTTATCCTTGCAGTTTTCCAGAGTCTGTTTATAATGTGTTCCTGGCTGACAGTTCAGTTCTTTATTGGTTGACAGGCAGATAAGTAGAACTGAGCATTGTCTTTGATAAAAGTCTTACTTAGTTCTAACACTGAAAATGATAAACTGTAGATTTCCACCAAGTCTCAGGTGGCAGGGCTGCGCTGCCTAGGTAGTAGCTATTGTTCATAACTGCACAGCAGCCGTGGTGGTTTCTTGGCAGCCCACCTCACGTCAGTCTTGGATTTGGGATAGACTTGACCTTATTTTAGCAAATCACATTTTGAAATTTTGAATGTATCCATTGAGCCTCTAAAATATATTGTGAATTTCTCAAATAAGTGTAAAAAAAGATTTATGCTGGAAATGTTTCACTTTGAAATAATATACTCAGTAGTTTCCTTTTCCTATAATTAAAATGTCAGTTTGTACCCATACAGTGGTTTGATACCTACTTCCTTTTAAGAGAGTAAGATTGTCACCTTTGAGAGGAGGATTTAGCATTCAAGCCTCGTTTCTTTTAAGTAGCTGATAGATCCAAGCTCTCAGAATTGACAAAGGTAGAAATTAATTTGCTTAAGTAATTTTCAGATTTAAATGTTCTTACACTTAAGAGCATAGTGGCACAAGTGGACAGTCCTTTCACTTCAGCGCAAGGATGGCTGAAACTGTTGGGGATGCCCTAGAACTGCTGT